ATATCCTGGGGCAAAGTGTTTTGGAAGGGAAACATGATTGCTCCATCCATCTACGCCTCCCGGACATTTTGGCGGTATGAGAGGGTTTTGGGGGGGTGTTAGCTGGGAGATGGCACCCATGGCACGCTCGAGTGCACCACCTGATCCAACTCATGCCCAGCTGCAGAGAGCTGCAGCCAGAGCAAAAGGACGCAGGAAACACAACACGGCTTTGGAGGGTGTTTTACAAGATGGAATCTGGTCCTGGTTATGTTAACAGCCGCTTTCCAGTCTGCCGGAGAGACCGGGGGGTGGGAGTGACAATAACGGATTAGGGAACAGCAGGAAGCTCCTCTTAAAAGGATAAAATGGGCATTTTGCATTCACTGACACTTACCTCCTGCTCACGCTGAAATATTACAACGCGGCCCCCCTTGTCCCCTTTTACAAGATGGAATCTGGTCCTGGTTATGTTAACAGCCGCTTTCCAGTCTGCCGGAGAGACCGGAGGTTGGGAGTGACAATAACGGATTAGGAAACAGCAGGAAGCTCCTCTTAAAAGGATAAAATGGGCATTTTGCATTCACTGACACTTACCTCCTGCTCACGCTGAAATATTACAACGCGGCCCCCCTTGTCCCCTGTTGCTAGTAATTCTCCAGTGTGGTTGAATTCTACTGTAGAGATGATGTCAGCTGGAAAGAAGAAGACAAAGACAATTTAAGTAACCGCAGATTGGCTTCCACACATCTGGAAAGCACCATTCCCTGCGCAACCACACGCCCTGTCAGCGCCCCGTCCCCTGCGGGATCGCCATAAATCTCCAGTTTTCTATTGTCTATAATAACAACGGCCACGGCATTTGGGAACTTTGCTGCTGTGAACCGAGACCCGCTCAGCACTCCTGGCCCCTGCCCGCGCCCGACAGCCCAGTTCAGGGGCACTGCCAGCTCCGCGCTGTGCCTGTGCCGAATGCAGCCTGGCGCAGAGCTGGGCGGCACGGCATGGCACAGCACAGCATGGCACACTCCTCTCACGCCCTGGGGAGCCGTCCCACCACTTTGGGATATGTGATCGGTTCCTGGGAGCCAGGGAGGGCTCAGTGCTGCCCGGTGCCCCAGCTGCCCTTGCCCGGCACCTGCCCACGGTGCTGTGCAAGGGGCAGCCTTCACTCCAGACCATCTCTTCTGCTTCCTCGCTCCCCTGCGACGTGTGGGGAGGTGGTTGCCTTCACCCTTGGAGGAGTGGGAGCAGACGGGTGAAGACACCTTTGTATTCTCCACCCAAGCCCACTAGGCAGAGCAGCCTGGGTGACCACATCAACTGTACCAGTTTCCTCCACCCGTTGCTGAATCTGCCACTGTCTATCAAGGTAAATTATGGTGACACCTTTCAGCCCTCCGTCACCCCAAAAACCACCATGCTGGTGCCGCTCCCTGCAAACCAACGTGCCATCACCAGGATGCAAAACCCCTGCGCAGGGGCCGGTGCTCGGCGCAGGGACCGGAGGAGTGAGGAAACGCTCACGGACCTGTAACTTGTAAACACTTTAATCTGCAGCGTTCACCCTTGAGGCAAAGCGAGCAGGAGAGCTGCTAATGATTGGATTTATTGGGCCTATTTTTAGAAGCATGTCAGAGGTTAATTCCACGACAATTACTGCCCAACTGCTGCTCTCCCACTGCCCGGGGCGCAGCACCGAGCTGGGGCAGGGGAAGGGGCAGCACGGACGCAGCCTCCGAGACCCAGCGCTGGGTGCGAGGTGGGTTCTGCAACCAACAGTTGTCCGGGGACACCCCCGGCTGGCCCCTGCCACGACGGCCGCCGGGATTTGCGTTTCTTTCCCCCTCGTTTCTGCAGCCCACCTGTACTGACGGGGTCGCTCAGCACATGGCTGTGGCCTCTGCGGCTCTGCGAAGGGGCAGACCCCTGGCACCGGCTGTGCCTGCAAACACCAGCCGCGGCCCTCGGCCAGCACCGGCACCCTCGGAGCCCTCTGAGCACTGGGATGATTTCTCTCACTTATTAGCTCTGTCATGTGCCAGTGGAGAAAACAACTGAACCACATAACCGGGATTGCCCCTTCTCCCTCCGAGGATTTTTATCCCTCTCAGATACGTAATAGAAAGTTACCACAGCAGATTAGAAAAGGCAAGGAAGAAAATGCCATCAACCCAAATTCAGAGACTGGCACAGACTTCCAGAGCTGCTGGGGACACTTCTGACGGTCTGTCTTCCAGGACGTCAGCAGAGGTAGCACCAACCAAAAGCACGCCCCACGCCATGGTGTCTCCCAGACAAGGCACCTCAGAGCCCCTTCCGCAGCCGCAGGCTCCCCCGAAACAGCACACCCGTGCCCCAGGATGGATCCTCAGTCGAGCCAGCGACTCCAGGAGGGTCTGGGAGTCAGAACAGCCACCGGCAGCAGGCAGCGCCCGCGCATCCAGCCGTCCCAGGGGAGGAGGGCACTTGCTCACCAGCACACATTGGCACACGCCGCTGCTCATCGGCACACACCGCTGCCCACAGGCGCACACTGCTGCGTGTCGCTGCCCTCAGTCCCCCGCAGCAGCACCCCGACCCCAGGCGCACCCCGGGAGGCAGATGACTGCCGAGCCCCCGTTCACACGGGCTTCGCCTCCTCTGAGCCATGCCAGCCGGGACCAGCACTTCAGCGCAGAGGAACCCGGGACACCAGACCACTCCCAATTTATTCTCGCAGTCCACCACTCTGTGTCTCCAAGGGGACTTCCCGCTCCCTCTCCGGATCCCCTCTGTCCCCGACAGGGCACAACGTGCCCACTGCGTCTGCTGAGCTGTGAAATCCAGATGGCTGCAGGCACGTGAGTGATGAACTCTGGCTGCTCCTACTAATATTTGTGCATCTCCCCCATCCTGCCCCACCTCTCCTGCAGGATGCACATTTGTAGTGACACACAAACGCATTCTGAAGTTCATCTTAATTCACCTACAACAGTTGGTTGCTGTGAACAGACTTAGGGAGACAATTCCACTGCAGATGGAGATGGTACTGCAGAAGCAAAACCCAAGAGGTCAATGGTAACACCCCTGTCCTGCCGAGCAAACGGAAAGGGGGTGCGTGCCGGGGCCAAATTGGCTGGCACTGAGCTGGAAAGCTCAAAGGTGAAGCACTTTATTCCCTCGCATGGAACCCTTCTGCCTCAGAGGGCAGCAAAGTCTGCCAGGCAGGTTGTAACCACCCGCTGCTGAGGTCAGTAAAAGGGCTGAAAAGTGATGCAGAAAGGCCGAGCACGGCTCCCGCTTACCCCGGCGAAGAGCCAGGCTAACGGCCGGCTGCAGCGCTGGGCACAGCCCGCACCTCGGAGGGGTTTCAGTCTTTTGGGGTTAAAGTCACTGAGTGAATCTTGAACTTCTTCAGATCACCTCTTCTTCCTCTCTCGCCTGGGTCTGAACTGTTGGTTAAATATTGTTCCCATTTAGCAACCAAGAAAACAGGTCATGGGAGGTTTTCAGGGTTCTTCTTTTCAGGCAATATACTCTACACATACTCTGTGGTTGCTGCTGCTGTTCTTGCACACTCTTTAAAACCTCTTGTAACAGACCACCTCTCTGCCGGCAGGTTTACAACCCGTGAACGCGTCAAGGCGATGCCCAGCCTCTGACCTCTGGATCACCATTTCACGTCCAACACAGACTGGAGGCAGCCAGGCACGGTCTGGGGCGCCCGCGACGCCCCTGTGCTGGGTGCAAGATGACCCCTCCTCGCCCGGCTCCCACACTACGCCGTAACACGCTGCTTGGCTACCTGGTTTTGGCAGAAAGAAACAGGAGTCCAGCAACCCGCGCCCACCGCACAGACACGGCTTTGATGCTGCTTTAAGCAAGCATCTACTGCGAAAAACAACCTCTCTCGTACCCACCCAGCTCTTTAACCTTGGATTCACCCAACGGATGGGCCAGAACAGCACGGACCCACGAAGCCCCTCGCACGAGGGAAACCTTTGCAGAGAGGCTGCACTGAAGCTGGAACCTCAGAAACTAAATTAGCAAACTGTCAGTGAACAAAACCATATCCACCTGGTACAGCTCCGGTTCAGCGAATGCCTCCCAAGGGGCATGACAGTTCGAGCACCCGGTCAAGGCTGGCAAGGAACACCCGGACACGGCAAATCCCACCACGCCGCTGCAGACCTGCCAGACTCGCTGCAGCCTACCTTTGAGGGTCCAACTGAATCAGAAACCAGTTTACAATTTCACGGAAAGCACATTGGGTCTAAAAATATAAGGAAAAACATATCCCTGAAAAGTTGAGCCAAAAGCCGTCTCCCATTCTCACAGGTAACTGCATCCAGAGCTGCGGGCAGACGCCGCAGCCAGAATGAAACAAGCTCCAGCACTGAGAAACTTTGTGTTGGGAACCAACTCTGGCTCAGCAGCGTGAGCTAAGCCCCAGTTCCCGCAGAGGTTTCCACTCCTGTAGCGGGTGACCCCACCCCGGTGAGCGTGGCAGCGACATCCTCAGCCTCGGCCGGCGTCAGCAGCGGTGCCACGCGGAGAACGCGGAGCGGAAGCTGCAGCAGCAGCCAAGGAACCGCAGAGCCCACGGCCAGGCAGAGTTGATGTGCACCTCGTGCTAAGCAGCACTTCTTCCTTCTAAAATTACTTGGTTGAAAATGTATCTTTTTGCACTATTTAATCTTCTCCATCACCAACTGCTGCTTTTAGGTCATTCACTTTTCAATGAATTAAAAATAACTTTCCATGCTGCAGCGAGACATTTTTCAGACGGTGCCTGCTACGTACTGCATCACCCTGTCAGCAGAGCGACCCGCGACACCGGGACCGGGCACCGCGAGGGTCCGCGTGCCACCCTGGCCCCAACACCCGTGGGGATGCAGGTCCACAGAACCTCCTGGACCAACCGTTCGCTCACGCCTGCCATCAGGATTTCAGACAAGGATAACAACAGGGCCTGGCTAACAGCACACTTCCATGCCTTCTTAAAAGCTAACAACGTGAAAACTCTCTTGTGGCAGAAGTATTGAACCCAACCCAGAAGCCACCACTGCCGACAGGAGCATCGCCCCCGGCACCCGCGGGCTGGGCACGCGCTCCTCTCCCCCACGTCTGGGTAGTACCAACAGTCTGACGTCGCGCAGGAAAACATCCCCGAGGGTGAAACGGAGGAGGTTACAACTCGGGAGCACAGTGCAGCATCGGACCCCTTCCAAAGGCGGCTCTCGACAAACTCGGACCCCTCCAGCACCGCTGGTCGGTCGCGGGCTCCTGCCCGCTCATCCCCACCCACCGCGCTTGAGACACACAACAGGGCGATTATTAATTAAAATTCACATGTATTAGCACTGAAATGATCAATAATTTATGCCCGTTTCTCCTAAGATTCCTACAGCAGTTTCGTGACAACAGAAAGTAAAAAAGCTTCTCTCTTTTTTCGCTTTTTCATTTCCTTCATCACCTCCTACATGCTCAGTGCCCCGAATGCGGGAATTTAAAGAAAACAGTTTCCATGGAGATCCTCCCCTCCGCCAGCACCGCCCGGCTCCTTCCCTCAGCACCAGGGCTGCTTCACGCTTTCATGCTAAAAATATCGAAGACAGGATTTGATTTTCGCCACAGCGATACAGTTTTATCAGAAAAAATAGGAAATTCATAATACACACACCCCCTCCCACCCTTCCCCCTCTCGCGGTGTGGAGGGAAGGCTGCGCTCCGCAAGGAACGGGGAAATAAACCCCTTGTTCAAAGGAAAGACGACAAAACCAGGGGAGCTGCAGTCAGTGCTGAGACCTGCATCCCCGGAGCAGCCTGACCCGGAGCAGGGAGCTGCTCCCGCTGCATCCTCTCGCCCACCAATGCAGGGGCCTGGGCGCCCCATCCCTGCGCCCGCAGCATCCCAGGCACCTCGTCCCCACTCCTGGAGCATCCCAGGCACCTCGTCCTTGCTCCCGGTGCATCCCTCCTGCCCCAGCATCAGCAGCAGCTCCATGCAGAAGAGCCCCAAGAACACCTGTCCCAGCCGAGAGGCCACAGGGACACGATGTGCGAACCATCACAGATGCCAGGAGCCCGTGCCCTCGATTTGCGCAGGATGACGCCCATGGTCCCGCCTGTGATGCCCAGGGCGTAGCAGGACAGCTGTCAGCCTGGTGGCTGGGGCATCGCCGGGCTCAGGCCCGCAGGGCAGAGGGGCATCCCCCCAGGGGCTCTGCCCGCTGCCCTGTGCCCCGTGTCACATCAGTCAGCGCGGCTGGGGCCGGGCCCGGCACGGTCCGGGACAGCCCATGCCTCTCCCTGACTGGCATCGTTTTCCAGAGCCTGCCTGGCACAGAAGTGTGGAGTTTTTGCCCTTTCTTCCAAAGCCAACCAGTTTCCAGCGGGGCAGAACAATTGCACCTGGGGTGGGACGGTGCAGCCCACAGCGCGTTGCCGGGTCGCATCGCGGGACTGATCCAGCGGGCTGGAAGGGCTGTGAAGAAGTGCTCTGCACTGCCTGCACAGCGCGGCACGCCAGAAAGAGGTTCAAAGCAGGGAAAGCCAGGGGAAAATCCGTCTGCAGTCAAGAATACCCTTTCCAGCTGAGGTACCTGTGCTACAGCAACCTTGAACACCCAGAGCTTTACTGGATGACCCACAATCTTTAATCAGCTTTTCAGAACCATACCTGCACTGTGCTTACAACGACTACAGAACGTGTTGGGTGACGTGGCCGGGCAGGCTGGTGGGTACCGGCTGCAAGGTGCTGCCTGGCATGGCGGCGCGGGCACTGCCTGTGGCACCGAGCTGCTGCCCAGACCAGCTCCACTGCTGATGCTGGGAGGGACGTCGGCAGAGGCTTGTTTCAAGGCTGGCAGCGCATGGCTGGCACTGGCCTCACGGTGACTGCCGGAAGGTGTGCCGGAGCGCCAGCAGCTTAAGGCAGGGGACATGCGAGTCGGTGCATGACAGCATCGTCCCTGGCTGCCTCTGCTCCTGCACCTCCTGCTTCCCGGAGCGCCACGCAGCCCTCCTGCCCACCATCTCCTCATCTGCAGGGCAGGACCACGACACACAAAAATTTCTGCAAAGCCTCACTCTCTGTGAGCCCCAGAGAAAACCCTTTAGAGGCACGAAGAGCGATGCGCAAGGATCATGGTGATAAATTGGCTACAGTGGGAAGATGACAAACAGCAAACTTTGTGTCTGAGGTCCACAACGAGTCAGTCGTACAGCTGCAAAATCAGCAATTGCCAACCCAACAAGACCCAGAGCTGACATCTCCACACTGCTATGCATGGTTTCACCCTAAAGCTTGTCTTGCTGCCATGCTCCTGCCTGCACAGTTCTGCTGCCGAGGGCCCCAGGAAGGCTGCACGGGCGGCTCATGACCATGGCTCAGCTCCAGATGCCCCATTCTTCTTATTATTTGTATAAATCACTTGGCTGATGGCACCGCACACAAAGCCTCCAGCTCTGCAGATGATCATAAATTGGGAAGCACCATAAATAACAGCAGACCAGGCTGCCAAATGAAGAAGGATTTAGATCATTCAAATCCCAGGCTATGAGTTGTCAAATCCAGTTTAATGCTGATAAGTGCGGGATAATAACTCAAGGCAAACACGTCTCTCCTCCCGCCCCCACCAGCCCCTCGACCCGAGCGAGGGCACAGGGGGGTTTGCCGAGCGGACGGGATGCTGCACCGACCCGGAACGTACGGAGCTGTTGCACGGCGATCCCCCGCCCAGCCCGCTGCTTCACTGCGACAGAGAAAGCAAATGGGGTGCTGACGGGTCCTGTGACCTGGGGAACAAAACCTACGTCCGACACCATCCAGGTGGATGAAGAAGGCATAAGGAGGTCATGAAAAATTAAAGGGCTTAGGGAGGGAAGTGAACGACACAGCCACGTCTGGTAACGGTGAGCCCACGAGCCCAGCCACGGCCCCTCTGCAGGATGTAGGCACCATCTCCACATCCTGCCGCTCTGGGCCAGGAGGGGGTGGGCCCCAGGACCAGAAAGGGGTTTCAAGGAGGATGCAAACCTTCGATTTCCCACTGAATAATGCAGCATGACCCTCAGCATCAGCCTCCCGAGGAGGACTCCTGGCTCCCCCTCAGTCGCAGCCAGTGGGTCTTATCTTGCTCAGGAAATTGTGCGACTCTGCATTTCACTGTTTAAAAAAAGATTCCTTTGGTTTCCTTTTCTGTCTGTCTTAAAAAAAAAAAAACAAAAAGAGAGATAGCAGGGTGTTTTTTTAATAACTCTGCAACGCACGGGCTGCCAGCAGTGAGGAATTCACGCTGCATGTTGGAGCTTTAAATGCAGGGATTTGATGGAGAGTGGTGAAAGTGCCAACGTGCAGGCTCGAGCACTGCAAGGCATTTTAAAAGGAACCACGACCTGCTCTCACTTTTGTAATTTCAGATTTACAAAAGAAAAAAATCAAAACAAACCCAAACTAACCAAACGCCAGTCCCAAATGCAAACAGGTCAATCGTGCCTTTCTGCCACAGCTGCCGACCGTCGACACACGGGAATGCTTCTGGGGCCAAGTCCCTCCTGATCCACAAGCAACGGGACCTCGGCAGGAGTCATCCTGGCCACTTCAGGGACTTGGAAGCTTTACAGGTTCACCTCTTCCAGGGATGGCCAGAGCACCTCGGAAACACTTGCCATGAAATGAAGCGGAGCATCCCGGCAGCTCCAAGGGCAGCACCGGCTGCAAGAGCGGGACCCAGCCCCGCCCCCGCCCAGCCGGCAGCCCACAGCAGAACCAGGGCTCCCAGTCTCCACCCCAGCAGGCAGAGCAAAAAGCTCACCCAAAGACCTGAATGCAGCTTTCTCCCCTGCCTGCAAAAGTGTCAATGAGGAACCAAAACGAGAAGAACTTCAGGGCCCCTCGGCTACACAGAAGATGGGCTATGGAGGAAGGCCCGGGCAAGGCTACGGAGCTGGAAGGGGACAGGGAAGCACCACCTGAGTCCCACCAGAACGGGGCAAAGTGCGATTCGCAGGTGGGGCAGGGCTCAGCCCGGGCCATCAATCCTCCCCCAAACGGTGTGGTCCATGGCAGGGGGAGCATGTGGGAAGGGAAGAGGACAGTAGAGGTTAAACTGGGATCTAATGGCATGCAAAATCACGTGTGATTGATCTGCATTGATTTTTCCCTGCTGAGGTGAATGATAGCCTGGCAAACAGAAATCAATTCCACTGCATTAAGCCCAGTAAGGATCTAGTATCATCAGCAAAACGTCCTGAAACATCATTGCTCACCAACACCGCGAAGCGCGGCACGACACGGCACGGCACCTGCCTGACCCCTCCGTCCCAGCTGGGCCAGGGCTGTGGCGAAGGAGGGCGGCCAGGCTCTGCGCACAAACACCACGCCTGAGCACCCCGAGTCCTGGGGAAAGTCCAGGCCCCCTCCTCCATCCCACCACGAGTCCTGTTTTCTGCCGGAGTCGCAGCTTGGTCCAATTTCCCGGCAGCTCTGGGGAAGGCAGGACGCGCCGCTGAGCTCTGCCACCCATTACAGCTTCTCATCGCGACGACGCAGTGCTGCAGAGCGAGCAGCAGCTGCTACTCTTCCCCAAAATGGAGTAACTCTCCTGGATTTAAGTGCTAAAAATACTGGCGCATTCAAAATTTCTCTGCCCTTGTTACGGCAAAGAATAATTTCGTGCTGCTGACTGAGAGGAAAGAAACTTCCATCTGGTACCTCCCGCGGCGCATCTCTGCAGCATCCCCCGCCGCAGCGCCCGTCTCAGCGCGCCTACACGAAACAATGTGCATTTACTCCTCTCTCACCGTCCTCGCGAGATTTAATTCACTAAGTGCTGGGAATGAGAGCTCAGGAGGAAATAATTCCATGGAAGCGTTTAGCATGAAGGCGCACGGAGAGCAGCGGTGCTCGTGGTCCCAGGTGCCCGGATGGCAGCCGCGATCGAACACTCCTCCGGAGCCGAATGCAATCAGCAGAAACCATGCAGCTTCGAAATGTGCCGGGTCGGTCCGTTGGCAGAAGCAGAACAATAAAACAGGAGAGACAGCCAGCAACAGCTCCACACAGAACCGTCACCTCGCACGGCACTCGACAGAGACGCTTTTTTTCACCCCAACACAGCTTGACCGCAGAGGGTCCCGTCACAGCCGATTACAACAGGCACACGTGGCGAAGCAAAGGGCAGGAGCCTCCATTCCAAGGAGCTCCGGGCCCCCTCCCAGCATGGAGCAGAAATGCGTTCGCTCTCATCCTCCCTCCGGAACGTGAGACCCCAGAGATGTCGGGCTCCGGCCCCTCCTGCCCGGCCACCCAGCGCGGCCACTGCCCCACATCCGGGAGTGACAAATGGCACCTTCTGCCCGCGCGCACTCCGACTCCCCGAGAAGCACGGGGAGGGGAGCAGGGGGCTACGACTGGAGGACAAAGGTATGTCCCGGGGCTCAGCTGTCCCTCGCCCGCCTGGCTGCCCGGGGATGAGCAAGGAGCACGGCGGAGAGGGAAGAGAGGGGGTGAAACGGAGAAGTGCCGGGGGGTGGCATATGTGACAGGCTGAGCCAAACCTCCTGCCCCTCCCAGGACACTTGTGTGCCACAGAGTGGGAAGGACGTCCCACGCTCCGGGCAGGAACACCCAGACCCCAACAAGCCCAGGGAACAGCCATCCATGGGGAAGGATGTGGCCTCTCGCAGC